CATGATGCGCGCATCAATGATGCGCCCGATTGCTAGGAGAGGAAGCTTCTTGAAACACGGTAACATTACAAATTTCGTAAGCCAAAAAGGCCGTTCTGCAGGCATTCGGATTTGTTTTGCTTCGGCAGCCATGCGCTTATCGCGAACCTTGATAACCTGTCGGCAGGTTATCATGGAAAAATCGTGGAACCACGGTAGAACGCATCAATGGGCTGATGCGCCTGCGGAACGCAGCCATAAAAAAAATGGCTCAGCGATTTCTCCCACTTTGTTCGGTCATGTGTGAACAGCAGGGCTGTCGATTGCAGGGCGTTTGCCCTGCTGGACCTTGAATTCAAGGGCTGGGTTGCCCTTGAAAGCTGAAACTGATGGGTTGGAATTTTTTTGGCCCTGATTTCTTACAGGGCTGATTTTGGGTGCAGACCTGGTGTGTAACGGGTTGATTTTAAGCGAGCCCTGGAACAGAATCTTTCGAGCCCACCCCAGCCCTCCCAACTCCTACACTCCCCCCTCCCCCTCGTTTCTACCCTAGTTGAATCCAACCTAGCTCATTTGCAAATTCGTGGTTGGGTCACGAATTCAAGTCCACCCAGAACTAGAACTAGTGCTTGCGCCAATCACAACTTCGGTCCCTTGCCATGTGACACACAGTCCTTAGCATGAAGCAGCATAGCAGCAGCAAAACACATCTCAGATCCCCGTGCGTGACCCGTCGTGCAGTGTGCCAGCATGAATCAGCATAGCAGCTCCAAAACACCTCTCACATCCCCGTCGTGCAGTGCGCCTCGTACTCCACGACGAAACGACGAGACGAGTAGAGATAGAGAACGTGCCATGCCAGCCTTCCCTCCCTCAACTTTCTGCTCTAATCTCTTCGACGATCCATCCATCCCTTCGTGCTCTCACACTAGGCACTGCCTATTTTAGAGCCCATGTTTCACAATCACGCATCATGGCAGCCCTCCCAGAAATGAAGTTTCCTAGTGATGACGGAGTTGAGGCACATACAACATCAACCGTCCCAGTACCCCAAGTTTTCAACTCCCCTGCCCACTCTGAAAGGCCCGTCGCCTTAGATTCTGATAGTGAGAACGATGCTAGTGGTGATGGCGCGCACGAGAACTTCCACGAGGTCGAAGTGCAGCAAGTCGAGCGTGTGTCTCGTCGCGCCAGTGAAGCTTCTTCCATTCCCGGCCAGCGCATGCGTCAGACGCGACTGACGTGGTCGGGACCACACCTTCCTCCTCGTAAGCGCTTGAGGAAGGTATCGACGGTGGATGACAAGCCCGCTCCAGCTGTGGATAATGCCGCGGAACGCAAGGATGTCCCTGCGTTGGAGAAGAAACTGGTCGAGAAGTGGAATGCTGGGTGGAAGCAAACGTTCAAGTGGCTGGTGCTTGAGTACGACGACGAGCAACAGATGTACGGTATGAAGTGTACCATCTGCAAAGCCCATGCCAAGAACAGTAAGTCTCCGTTTGGACCTCTTGGCATCGGAGCGCGAGATTTTTAGGTGGGGAGCCTCAGAGGCCATGAATTCACGAGGCTACACCTTGCTGCTGTGGTATCCGAGCGGATTGCTGAGGATACCGAGAGGCAACAGCGCAGTATCTTGGAGCTCCTGAGCGCTGAGCCGCTGACCCGCAGGGTGGTGAAATGTCTTCAGGCAGCTTACTGGTGTTCTCGAAATGATGCAGCAATCATGCTCTACACGCTTCTTGTTAAGTTCATGGCTAAGCAGGGCTGCCCATACATAACCAATGAAGAGGCATACGGGCGATATTACTCAAGGTAATGCGCTGTTATTTCTGTTTGTTACCATTGTACAACCTAACAATCCGCTTTTGCACCTTTGCAGGTACGCTTTCGGCGAGTTCGTTTCGGCACTAGCAAGCTACCTCCAAGGGCGCCAGCTGGCAGACGTCCAAGCCTCGCCATGGTTCGGGCTCTCATTCGATGACAGCACGGATCACGCGCACGGCAAGCACATGATCATGTATGTACACTTTGAGCGCAACGAGCAAACGGAGGTGCAGTTTTTTGGAAACATACCAGTCGACAAAGCCGATGGCGCCTCGCTGTACGCCTCCATCACGGCGCATCTTGACGGCAAAGGATTGTCCTGGGACAAGTGTGTGGGTGTGTCCACGGACGGTGCCAAGGTTATGGTGGAAAGGAAGAAGGGAGTTATGGGCCGTTTACTACAGCACTGCCCGTGGCTGGTTGCTGTGCACTGCGTGGCACAACGCTGAGTTAGAATGCTTGTGTTTTGTGTTCCTTGCTCAGCCTTCACCTCTGGTCGTTGTTTTTTAACTCAGGTTTCACTGGTACCCGTGTCACAGAGAGGCGTTGGCAGCAAAAGATGCTGCCAAGAAGTTCCCTGATTTCAACATCATTGACTCACAGTTCGCAAGACTGCTGAGCACATCGGCCTCTCCAGCATCTCCAGAGATGCCTTCATGGAGCTGCAGGATGTGGTCATGAAAACCCAGCTGGAAGTCCAGGGCATTTTCAACGTGGGGATGCAGTGGCGCGTTTTAGCGAAGTGCTGCCAATCCTCCTCTGGGTTTGGCACAAAGAGGACCAAGCCGTGTACAAGATCAGCACAAGTTTCAAGTTTCAGTTCATGCTCTTCTTCCTCGCCGACGTGCTCGAGATGCTCAACACCCTCAACATGGCGTTTCAAAGGCTGGTGGTAAGCTTGCATCATGGTCTATGTTTATACATTGTTTTAAGAGCTCGTTATTAACTTTCCTTCCTTGGCTCATGAGCAGGTGGACATCGGCGAGGTGAAGCTCCTTCTCGATAAGCTGAAGCTGAAACTGTTGCAACGTTACGTGGAGAAGAGCGCAGACTATGGGACCCCGAAGAGCAAGCACCTGCACGCTTTTCTTGAGAATCACGGCAGCCCTGACAAGCGCGAGATCACCATCCAGAGCCTCGACAAGCAAGGGAACGCGTGCACCGTCAAGGACGTGCTGCATGAAGACCCCATTGGAGAAGGCATGGGGACGGACCTGGAATCGTGCATCAATCTGGTGCAGCAGTTTGCGCAGGAGTTGATCGCAAAGCTGGACTGCCGGCTTGGCGACCTGAAGCATTTTGACGGGGCTAGTTTTTCATGCCAAACCACTACCCCCTGCGGCTTGCTGATCGTGAACCCTGGCTCAACGCCCACCTGTACGAACTCCTTGACATGTTCAAGGAGAAGCTGCCCGGTACGTAAGAATGCAAATGATGTTGTATGTTTATGACACCCATCAGTATTATTATCATAGGTTCTTCAGTGTTTCACTTATGTCTCCTACGCCCAACCCACCACCCGCAGGCGTCACGGTCAAGGCGTGTCAGCTGGAGTTGGAGCTCTTTGCTGCAACAATGTTCAAGAAGTTCAAGGACATGACTTTCCAGCAAGCCCTCACTAACGTGTTACGCACCTCAGACTGGAGGGATAATTACCCCACCCTCGTGCACTTGTGGCATGCACTTGCTGTTCGGGAACCCTAGAAATGAGAATGAGCGTAAAGTCGGTATTAGGTATGGCACCGAGCCTTAATCGAGATAAGGACAAACACCCACTTGGAACACTGTGCAGTGTTGACCGAAATATGTACAGTGTTGACAGCTGGAGAAACGGACAGGTGTTTGCATAGTCAACGCTGCATGTTGAGCAAAAAAGACAAACAAATCCGTGCAAAAATCTCAACAAAACGTAAGACAAAGATCGCGCTGCCCCATCACAACCACCTCCTCCAGAACATCCCATGCACGTTCCCTTTCCCTTCTCAAAAGAACATTTCTAAACCATTCTAAACCACTCTATGCTGTCCATAAAGTTTACCCAGGAAAATATTACTCATCTTGCGCTCGTGGTAGAACGGCGAGCGGAAAGTCAGTGAAAAATTGCCCGTGATTACTGTTCAGTTAATGGGCGGAATGGGCGGCAGATCGATATCTCGAGCCGCTAATGAGTGCTTGCTGAACTTGATGCTTCCAAACCGTGAGGTTTGGTTACGACGGAAGTCGCATGGGGGTCGCACGCGATTTTTGGGCTTCCGAACCTACTTTCTAGCTTATTTAGTGATGGTTTCCCCATCATTTCACCTCCTCCCGAACAGCACCTAGATAAAGGGTCGCACATGGCAGGCCCCCTGATTTGTCCGTGGGCTCCAAAACGAATCGACAGCCCTGGTGAACAGCGATTTCTGCCTACCAAACTGGAAACGCCCTCCATGCGGACAAACGCCCTGTACTGTATTGGCGGTTAATTAACGGCGGACCTTGTGTACACTACTGTGCACCATTTCCTCGTTAATTTCAACGCCTGGGCAGGGATGCGCGGAATTGTCATTTTTCCCAGTGGTTGAACTAGGGGGGGTGAAAGAAGTTCGAGCGATGCTGATTGGGCGATGAAACTGAGAAATTGGTAAGAAATTGGATGAAAGAAGTTCCCCCTGAGTCGAGCAAAGCTGACTGGGATAAATCACACCACACGACGTAGCATAGCACTCCTTTCAGGTAACCAACCGGCTTTAGGCGATGAAAGCGGGCAGCGCAGCCGAGCGTCACGGTGGCGATAGGTTCTGTTTTTCGGATCGGGTTCCGCACTTTTTGCGATGGCGGCGCAGCGATCAGTTGGCCAGTATAGAACCAGCAGATCCGGTCTATCCCGTCCTTCGCGCAAAGGAGACTCGCTCGGGTCGATCCCGTCCTTGCTTTGAGACCCGCTCTCCCTCGCTGACCCTCACTTTCCGCCGTCTCGCCTTCGGAGCAGGTTTGATCACTCATCCCGCGATGCCGCTGCTCCACCACGGGCCGTCTGTCAGTCCCGCGCGCACTGAACGAGTCTAGAACAGAGGAACTTTCGGAGCGCGCACCGCCGCGGCGCGCGCGCATCGAGCGAGCGAGCGGCCGAGTCAGCGAGCTCTGTTTACCCTTTTCTCTTCGCAGCGAGTCAGGCGGCCTCCACCCGTCCGACTCGGACCAACCTCCTGCCAGCCATGGCGCGCCAGGCTCCTCCACGCGGGACGCGTCGGGTCCCGCGGCTGCTGCTGCTGCTGCTGCTGCTGCTGCGCGACCAGCCGCTCCTGCTGCTGCTCTCTCTGATCGTCTCGGTCTCGGCGACAGTGACTGTCGCTGTCGCTGTCGCACAGGATCATGATACATTCGCCGCAGTCACCTACCTGCCGGCCACTCAGAGCCTGGCGTTGGGTCCGGGGTACACTGTGTCTGTGAACCCCGCAACCAACCCGCCTTCGCTGGCCGTTGTCGACTGGAACGGCGCGCCTGTCGCGCCCACCTATAACGCGGACGGATCCGCCACTGTTGCCGGGTACACCGCGTACCCAAACGGCACCGTCATTGGTCCGGGCGGCCTTTCCATCTACCTTCAAGGTTCCAGCTCTGATCCATTGTTCTCGATGGGAACAACAACAGTCCTCAGGAACGGAACCATTGTGGACGGTTCGGGAAAGAAACTCGTGCCGACGAAAAACCCTAAAGGGGACGGGTCGTACACAGCAGGGGACTTGACTGGGTGGCCTAGAAACGGCCTCATCATTGGCAGCGGTGGCGCCGTGATCAACGCCGGCGTGCCGCTCACCCTCACCGCGGACGGCAGCATTGCTTTCGCTCCGCATGTTGCTGTTCCCGTGCCTGGCGCCGCCATCTCCGCTAACCCCGCCACCCACAGCCTGTCGTTCGGCTACTATACACTGTGTTTGAACGGCACGGAGATGTCCCTCCTAGACTCCTCCCGCAATCCTGTCCAACCCACCACCAACCCCGACGGGTCCCGCTATCTTGGCGGCTATACTCTTTACAAGAACGGCACAATCACCGCTCCGGGCGGCATTGCCATTGACACTGTTGGTCCCAACGCGGGGCTGCGTGTGGGAAGAACGACGGTTCTGATAGTAAACGGAACGGTTCTGGACGGTTCGGGAGCAAAAATCATGCCGACGGGTCCGAATGAGGACGGGTCGTACAGTGCAGGGGACGTGAAAGGGTGGGCCAACGGGACTATTATTGACACCAACACTGGTGTGGTGCTCTATGCTGGTGCGCCGCTGGCCCTCACAGCTGACGGCAGGGTCACTTTGGCCTCTCTCTCCATTCCCACTGGTGCCGCTGCTCCCTCTGCTGCTGCCGCTGCTCCTCCTACTGATGCCGCTTCTCCTCCTCCTGATGCTGGTGCTCCTACTGCTGATGCTGCTGCTCCCTCTGCTGATGCTGCTTCCACTTCTCCCCCTGCTGCTTCCACTTCTCCCCCTGCTGCTTCCACTTCTCCCCCTGCTGCTTCCACTTCTCCCCCTGCTGCTTCCACTTCTCCCCCTGCTGCTTCCACTTCTCCCCCTGCTGGTGCTTCTACTCCTGCAGCTGCTCCTCCCCCGCCCAAGACTGCTGGTGAGTTGTTTCTCCTATGCTTCTCCTGTGCGTCACGTGTGCGTCATTCTCCTTTCTCTTGTGCTTGGCAGCGTTTGTGTTGTTTTAAATATATCTCTTGCGGCTTGCCTCAATCTTGCCTTCCTGTTTGGTACCTCACCCTGAAACTCCGCTGCACATGTCCACACATCTCTCTAATCCGACGCCTCTTTTGCTTCACGTGTTTTCTAATTTCGAACTACGGTACCATAGGATGGGCTAACCTGATTCTGTTTTCCCTGCTGTTCCCCCTCGCGAAGGCAGGTTCGCTCGCTTCACCGGCCACTGCGCTCACTGCTCTCATCACTCTCGCCCTTGCCCCGCTCGTGCTCATGTAGAGCAACGCAGCTCCATGTCAGACCGGGCATGGGCACAAGTGGTTTGGGTAACTCCCGCACTTGCTCCAAGATGGCAAGGGTGTTTCGCAAATCTGGTTCACTCCATGAAAATGTGATGGTGCTGGGGTTTGCTAACAGCAGCCAGCCTCAGTCAGGTGGCCTGGCCACTCACTCAACCCATATGCTCAAAATTTCTAGCAGCAATAAGACATCAAACAGGAAGAACAATCGATTCGCCCACCAGCAACAGGCCGCTAAACAGCAAACACTAGCACGTATGCCCTACTGTACACTACATGTGCCGGGCAGCCAGTCCCTTGCCTGGGGAGTTCACATCACATCACTTTCCTCCACCTCCTCCCCCTCCTCCACCTCTACTTTGCCCCACCTGTGCTTCTGCCACACCCTGTGCCGTTCTTGCATCAGTCACACCCGGCACATGGCGGTTCACACCCGGCACATGGCGGGTCACACCCGGCACATGGCGGGTCACACCCGGCACATGGCGGGTCACACCCGGCACATGGAGGGTCACACCCGACACATGGCGGGTCACACCCAGCACATGGCGGTCACACCCGGCACATGGCGGGTCACACCCAGCACATGGTGGGTCACACCCGGCACATGGTGGGCCACACCCGGCACATGGCGGGTCACACCCAGCACATGGCGGTCACACCCGGCACATGGAGGAGAGGGTCACGCTCGGCACTGCGCAGGAGCCTTGCTGCTGGCATGTGATATGATGCTTGCCTCATCTGCTACCACCCCGCTGCATCCCTGTTCCTTCTCCACCTCCACACCGCCTCGCCCTTGCTGACCCCTCCTCCCACTGACAGCACCCCATTCCCGTACGCTGCCTGGCGGAAGGCCGACTACGCAGGTTTGAGGGAGAGGAAACTGGGTGTTGAGGGGGAGGAGAGAAAGTGGGAGGAAGGAGGGTTTTCAACCCCGGGAGAAGGGCGGGGAGGGAAAGTGGGGGTTGGGAGGATTGGAGTGGGAAATAAAGGTGTCAAGAGAAAGAAATTGAGATGATTTGCATTTGATTGACGAGTGAAGGAGGATGAAGCGCAAATGGGAAGCATGTGGGAATTTGGTCAGCGAGAAGCAAATTATAGTGAGGCGGTGCCTTATGCCACGACAATCAGAATTATAGGGAATTCTTCAAACAAGTTGCTTTGCATAGACTTTAGTATATGCATGCACACGTATGTGTGAGTGTGTGCGTGCCTCTGTGTGCGCATGTGTGTGCATGTGCGCAAATGTGTGCGCGTGAGTATGTTTCTATGATCGCATCTGCACCTTAAAACTGTTGGGCTGAGAAAAGCCCTAGGATCGTTTTCAAGACTAAAAACTCAGAGTAGTGATGTATTAGCGGAAGCGTATTAGTAACTGATAGAACCACCTTGCACAGGTATGTGAGAACAAGATAGTTGATAATAGCAAAGAGATACCGTACAAGCTTTTATATGATTACAAGGAATACGGAAGGTTTGACTAACTGTAACTTCTGCTGTGGTTCGATACAGCGACGACTCAGGTAACTGCTTAATATCGAGTCAGTTATGTGTCCTTGCTGTCGCTGACCTTTGGCCTTCACTTAACCTCTTGCTGTTGTATTTTTGACAACCTCTTCGGTTGACTCGCTGTTGCTTCGCTGTAGTTCGCCTTGTCAGAATGTATATTTGTCTAGTCTGCAGCGGGGTACTCTATAGTGAGTACAGCCCTGCTAGGGTTTGCTATATGTATCCCATTGCTTGCTACTGAAACCCCTCTTATGCTGTTCTCTTTCCTAAACCCTAGGTTCCTAGTCCTAGGTGCTGAAAACAATCGGTCCTAAGCGCCTCTGTCGTGTCGAAACACTAAGGCACAAGCGAAGCAAAACATATCGAGGCACCAGCGAGTCAACCCTCGGAGGTTGAAGTAACTGCTGGAGGTTACGCGAAAGTCAAAGGTCAGCGACCTTTGACCTGACAAATACAGCGCGACAGCAAGGACACACAACTGACTCGTTACAGAGCAGTTGCCCGAGTCGTCACTGTATCGAACCGCAACAGCAACAAGTAAAACAGTTATAACCGTATCCTTTCATATTCCTTGTACTCTTATATAATCTTGTATCTCTTTGTTTTAATCAACTTACTTTGCCCTCACATACTAGCGCAAGGTGGTTCACAACTCTTTATTAACGCTTCCGCTACTACACCAACTCTACCCAGAGTTCACCCCTGCAAAGATCCTAAGGGCTTTCTCAGCCCAACATGGTATGAGAGCAATCAGGGGGAATTCAACTACTATACCGACAACATCAATCAGCATGGCTACACAAAAGGAAAGGAGCAACTCCAACGGCTCCCAGGGCACTACTCCTACTCCACCTCCTGGCTCTGGCCTACAGACAGAGGAGGGCACGGCAACAAGACCCAGAGCAACATCTACCGAGACTCCCGCAAATCAACCTGCAGACTTCGACCAGAGCATGATGGAGAAGTTTTTCTCCTTCATGTCATTCTATGAGCAACACCAGCAATCGGCACCTGCGCAGTCACACAACAGCAACAACAACGGAGCAACACCCATGAGTCTCGACGGCTCATCATATGCACGAGGAAATCAGCAACAGCAGCCTACCTTTGCTCCGTACGAGCGCGGGTCCATCAGCTTCATGCCACACCCACAGCCCTCACCTGGACAAGAAAAACCACTGGACGCACTACAAGTTCAGTCGCAGTTCGCACACGTTCTGAAGATGCAGACGTCAAGACCCTTTGATGGAAAGGACTTCTTCACCTGGTCGTTCGAGTTTGAGCTGATGATGGAAGGCGCGCAGATACTCGGGTTCTTCGACGGGTCTCTGCCATACCCAACAAACGGCACACAGTACGAGAAGCAGCAGTACACCTATCAGTCAATGATGGCGTACACGATCCTACTGAGGAACATCACTCGGACTTACCGAGGTTACGGCAACTCCGCGGAGCTCGCATACAACCACCTGAAGAGCCTGTATCAAGCAACAGACAGCGTAAGTCAAAGTCGGTTAATGGCGCAACTGACAACGGTTGAAATGAAACCAGGGGAGAAAGGAATGGCGTATATCAGTCGATGTCGCGAGTTGCGCGACAAGCTCCTTCGATGCGGAGGGTCGATCTCTGAAGACGCCTTCGTGACAGTCATCATCGGCGGCCTCGGTCCTCAATGGCGCACCACAAAGGCCATCCTCCGAGCTCACGGAAGAATCTCCGAAGCAGCGCTCTGCGCCGAAATCCACGCCGAGCAGCAAGACATGGACCTGCAAGAAGAACGACACAAAAAGAAGACATCAGCACCGGAATTCGCGTTCCACACTCAGCGACGCTACAACAACAACAACAACCGGCAGCAACAACCGAAGCCAGTACCTCCGTTCTACCACATCTGCAAAACTTCAGGACACTCGCGTACACACTGCCCGAATCGTCAACAGTCAACAACCCCACAGCGGCAACTTCGACCTTCAAGCAGCCAAATCGCCTCAACGCAAGTAAATCCCACGACTCAGATTCAAGCTTCAACAACCTCAACAGGACAACCTGCACAAGGAGCAAGAAACATCGTCAGCTGCATGGCAAAGATGAGTGACTCCTGCATCACCGAGTCACCACCACACTACTCACCGGAAGAACAACTCGACGAAACCACACCCCGCCGCGAGTCACTTCAGCCGAACCCGACATACGCCGCCATCGCCCAAAGCGAACCATCCGGAAAGGACACATGGTTCTTGGACAGTTGCTGCGGACAGCACATGTGCTCCTCGGGACGCTTCGTTCAACGAGAACACCAACTTCAACGCGAAGTTGTCATTACAGTCGCCAACAATCAGAACCTGCGAACACGACGACAAGGCGTAGTTCAACTTCAGTCAAGGGAAACAAACGTTATACTGCAGATGTCAAAAGTACTAATCGCGGAGGGACTCGGCTACAACTTACTGAGCGTCAGTCAGCTAATGGCGAAAGGGATTCACCTCGAAGCAGACAGCACTACCCAAGAATTCAAGCTGTATTACGGGAGAGGAGGTCTCTACATCGGCAAGGCGGTCCTCAAGAACAACGTCTTCGTTCTTGACTTCGTTCCTGACCTTGGCACCGCCGACAGCGACGCCGTCGTTAACTTCACCGACTCGATACACCCTCCAGACCTTGATCCAGACTTCAGTCCAGAAGGCTTCTGGTACTCACACACCATCCCCGAAGCAGAAAGAACAAGGGCGTTAGCAACAATTCAGACAACATCGGCAGCAGCAGAGACAACATCGGCAGCAACAGAGACAACATCGGCAGCAGCAGAGACAACATCGGCAGCAGCAGAGACAACATCGGCAGTAGCAGAACCATCAACGGCAGCAGCAGGAACGTCAACACCAATTGCTGGTCCTTCAACGACACCGCTCCTCATCGACGACACACCACCGACACCAGCGCAACAACTACACCCAGCACCACGAGAAGTTCATCGTAGCGCCAACTTCACCGCCAACTTCTACTCCAACTCCGATATGTACCGACGATCACCCGGACATCGCGCCGACGAAAGCACCTGGCACGCAAGGATGGGACACCCAAGCAACACAGTATTAAACAATACGATAAGAGCAGGAGTACTCGACAAGGACTCACTTCTACTGACCGACGGACGAGAACTTCAACGAGTACGCGGAACGTGCTTCACCTGTCCCGAAGGTGACTTACCACATCGACCGTTTACGTCTCATCACAACCCGAGCGCACCCGCGTACGCACCACTCGAGAAGGTGTATAGCGACATCCTGTTCAATCGGGAACCAGGACAAGTAACATACAACTACACGATCACCTTCATCGACGCCGCCGTTACGTCTGGCACCTAAACCTCCCTAGCCGCGACATGGCATTCGCAGCCTTCGTTGCCTGGCTACCAGTAGCAGAGAGAGAATCGGGCGTGAAACTGAAAAGCTTCCAGTCAGACGGAGGAGGAGAATACACCTCTCAGCGATTCAAGCAGTACCTGGCGGAAAGGGGAATCAAGCGGCTCATCTCCCTTCCCTACGCCCATCAGCAGCAAGGTGTAGCAGAAATAATGAACAGGACCTTGCAGAACAGCATGCGCAAACTGTTACGTGGCATGCGGCTACCCAACCACCAGTGGCCTGCAGCAATGGACCACGCCGTCATGCTGCACAACTTGCTGTCGTCATCATCGCTTCCGAACAACGCATCACCGCATCTGCTATGGACAGGGAAACAGGGCAGCACAAAAATGTTACGAGTATTCGGATGCATGGTACAGTACCGACCCCCAGCAGCACGAGCGGGCCGATTTTCTCAACGAGCACAGTGGGGACTACACCTGGGAATCGAAAAGAACTACAACGCGTGGAAAATCTTCGACGTCCACTCCAAGGAAACAGTAGCAGCACGTGATGTAATTTTCTACGAACGACTCACGCTTCAGACATACCTTGCCAACCTGCACGAAGACCAGGATCCCACAGGTGGTTTTCGTGGTGACCGAGCCTTCGCCTCAGCAGCGGACGATGCTGACTGGGACGAGCAGAATGTGGACAACGCATCAGAAGAAGCCGGACCTCTTCCGTTCTGCTCCGTCGACGTTCCCATGGACGAAGACAACCCTCGCGAAAGTGCCAACGCCGAAACCTTCTACCATTTCGCCGACAACGGTTACGTAACACCTGCGACAGTCAACACCAACGAAGCAGAACGAGTAGGACCGAACTTCATACCTGATCCAGAAGCGGGAGATGAAGCAGCTTATCCCGAGGACGTAAATCTTCCCCGC